GAGGCATCGAGGTCTGTTCGCACCCTATATCGCTTTTTAAGATCCCAGGTCCCGTGATCCTTCACCTGATGACACACCAAATGGCGAGAAAGATGCAATCCCAATATCAAAGGAGCGCCTCAATAATCAGCACTTTCCCTCGTCTCTACGCACAACCTTCTAATCTGACCAGATAGCCCTTGAACCCCTAAAACCCTAACCCTAACACGCCAGAAGTCTAAAACCTAAAACCGTACACCTACACAGCAAAAAACATCGCATACCCTGAACACAGGCCACATATTTATACCACCCCTAAACCCTAAACCCTAAAGGCGTCTATGCGGGCCTTCGTGTCCTCGGCGGAAGCGTCCTGCCTGGCCTGGCGGTGCAGCGCTGTTCGTAAAGTTGGGGTTAGGGAGTTTAGAACTTAGGAGTTTGGCTTAATATTATAGGGGCCTTAATAATTAGAACAGGGTTTTGGGGGTTTAGGGTATAGGGGGACTTAATAATTAGAATAGGGTTTTGGGGCCTTTAATATGATAGGGGACTAATATTATAGGGGGCTTAATGATTAGAATAGGGTTTGGGGGTATATTTTAATATAAGGCAAATAAGGAAACCCCAAAATTAGTCTTGGTAATTATTTAGGCCCCTACATCAGGGGGGTTTAGAACTCAGGGTTTAGGGTTTGCAAAAGTCGCACTGCTTGTAATTTTTCTATTTAGGAAGTTTGCCAGGACCCCGCAAGTGCCCTGTTAAAGGGCTCTGATACTTCTCATTAAGACGTTAGTTGGGGGGTCGAGGTAGAACTTAGATAGATTTTTGGGTCTGCAAAATTGGGGGGGGGCCACATTTTGATGTTTAGGGCTTGAGGGTTTAAAGATTCACGGCTGGGCTTTTTGTGCCCATGGAGATTTAGATACCGGTGTCCCCACATCAGGGTTTGACGAGGAGTGTTCGGGAGACAAGAAACGGGGCCAGGTAGACCACAAGTAGCGTGGGCATCCCTTAGGAGAGTTGCTAACGTGTGAGCATCAACCACTTTGTGAAGAGAGTTCGTTAGCGTTTTCGTCCTGTGGGGCTCCTTTTCAGGTGCGATCGAAGCTTCTGACAGGGACCCGACTTCAAAACAACGCCAAACGAAAAGCTTACTCAAGTCACAGTCGATTGAGCATCACTTCTTAAACCCTAGACCCCGGAATTAAGCCTGCAGCCTACACGAGAAGCCCATCTAGCATTCAGACCTCAGACCTTGATTCGTTGAAGTCCTTCATGTGGCGGTGCATGGCAATATAGGGACGTTTACGCTTAGAATAAAGCTTTCAGGAAAAGTACATCGCAATTGCTTACTAAGGACTATAAGGCCCCAAGGGCCTAAATCCAAAACCCCACAACCCTACCCTCGAACCCCAAACCCCTAGACCCCCCAACACCGGTAAATCTATAAGACCCCATGAACCCTTAGACCTAGAGGTAACCGGCCAAAACACTGAACCTTAAACCCTAGGCCCCTTCTGAAACCCAAAGCCCTGAACCCTATAAGCCCTAAACCCTGAGCCCTACACCGCAAACATCTGCAAACCCTACATTATAAACCCTTCAACCCTAAACCGCTAAACCCCCAAACCGTAGGCCCAACAAATCCTACAAGACCCTACGAAGCCCCCCTTTACCAAGGCCCCCCTATAAGACCCTACCAGACCGCCTACTAAGGCCCTTTAATAAGACACCATAAGACCCCCTAATTAACCTTATTAATAAATAGCCCTACATATAAGAGCCGATCAACCTTATGAAACCCTAGAAAGCCCATAAAGTCACTACTAAACCCATACTAAACCCTGTAAGACCCTATGAAACCCTATAAGAGCCCTGTAAGACCCTACAAAAGCCTATAAGACCCGATAAGACTCGAATAGAACCCGAATGAAACCAAACAGCAAGCTCGGGGCCTTAGTTTGCGCCACGACACTTTCCGCGGACTCACGAACGAAGAGGCGCACCTCTGCGATGCCTGGCTGCTTTAGGGTTTATAGGGTTTAGGGTTTAGGGTTAATTGAAAGTAAGGGATCTATAAGGCTCTTGGGGATGGAGAAGACTGCAGTGGTTTAGGGTTTGGGGTTCTACGGTTTAGGGTTGAAAATAGGGTTCCTTGAAAGGAAGGGATCTATAAGGGACCGGTAATTCTATAATGGATAACTGTTGCTATAGGGGTTACTGTCGCGTTCCAGGGTTTCGGGCTTGAGGAGTTTCCGGTTACAGTTTAGGGTTCTAGGGGGTTTTTGCAATGCTTTAATTAGGGTTTTCGGCTTTCGGGTGGGTATTGGGTTTTGTAAGTAGGGCAGTTCTGATGGCTTGATATAGGAGGGATTCTCAACCGAGGTTTGGAGTTTCAGGTGGAAGTCCTTCTGCCGCATTTTGCTTGATAATTTGTGCTAGTATGTGCTATTCCTGTCGGTTTTTCACCTAGGATTTCGGCAGTCTTATGTAGCCGCACTCGCAACGTTGAGAAAGCCCCGTTTCGCACCTAGTCTTGTGAAGCTTTTTGGGGTCCCGCCGGCCGCAGGAAAGACGACGATATGGCCAAATTCAACACGCCGACAATCCTCTCAAAGAGCAATGAACCCTAAAGCCCCTGTTCAAGCCACCCCACTAAACCCTAAACCCTGATCAGTAAACGCTGGACCCTTAGATACTTAACCCCAACCCAACAGACCAAGAACATCCCTTCTAAAACCGCTTAACCCCCTTACGTAAAACGCCTAGACCCTAAACCTCAACACCCCCTCTGATAAAGAGGCCTTAATAATTAGAATAGGGTTCTAGGGTATAGTCTACTATATAATTATGCGAAGGAACCCCTAACATATCGTAGGTAATTATTTAGGCCCCTACATCTGAACCCTAAACCCTAAACCTCCTACATCTAAACCCTAAACCCTAAACCTCCTACATCTAAACCCTAAACCCTAAACCCTCAACCCCAACACCCCCTCTCGTAGCTGGGGCCTTGCGACATTTCGGCCGAGGAGGCCCCGAGGCGGTCGACGCGGGCCGCGAGGCGCTGAAGGGCATCGTCTTGCCTTTTGGAAGGGGGGGTTTAGGGGTTGGGGTTAGGGCTGAGGGTTTAGGGTTAAGGCTGAGGGTTTAGGGTTAAGGCTGAGGGTTTAGGGTTTAGGGCTGAGGGTTTGGGGTTTAGGGGTTTAGGGGTTTAGGGGTTTGGGGTTTTGGGGATTTAGGGGTTTAGGGTCTAGGGGTTTTGGGGTTTAGGGTTTTAGGGTTTAGGGTTTGGGGCTGAGGTGCTTCGGGGTTAGGGTTCAGAGTTTGGGGGGTTTATAGGGATTGTGTTTGTTTCTCTCTAGTAATTCAAAGTTACGGGGGTTGCTCTGGTGTTGTTGCGGACTTTCGGGCTTAGGGTTTGGGGGATGTTTGGGGGTTCGGGTTTACAAGTTTTCCAAGGAATTTGGTGCTTTCCTTGGTCCTTGATCGAGATTTGTTTTTTTGGCGCTTTCGGGGTGTCGGGTCGAAGGCCCTGGTCCATGTACGGGGTTTCGGATCTTGGGGCATACCTGGCAGGGCCTCCAAGGCCCCTAAATCCCAACCCCAAACACCTCCTAAACCCCTACACACCCTACAACCCTACTTCAGTCCTGGAGCACAAGCCCTGAAGCCCTAAACGGCACCTTGATCCCGAAACCCGAAACCCTAAAGCTCTACACAGACTCAGCCAAGTGCCCTAAACCATAAACCCTGCAAGCCCTAATATCTAAACCGTAAACCCTCTAAGCCCCAGGCCCTAAACCCTACACCACAAACCCTAAACCTCAACCCTAAAACCTTACAAGCCCTAAGCCCTATAAGCCCTGAAACCCTATGAGCCCCAAGCCCCAAGCCCCATAAACCTTGTAAGCCTTTTGAGCCCTCTAATCCCTCTAAGCCCTACTATCCCTCTAAAAGCCCTAAACCCTAAACCCTAAACCCTAAACCCTCTAAGCCCTACTATCCCTCTAAAAGCCCTTCCCTACACCCTAAACCCTAAACCCTAAACTTTAAAAGCCCTATAAGCCCTATAATAGCCCTGAGCTCCACAGGCCTTCTGTCGAAGGTCCGCGCTTCCTCGACATCGGCCAGGAGCCCTGCGCTCTTGGGCGTTTTTTAATTGTTACGTGAATGTGCGCGCGCGCGTGTGTGGGTGTATACATATACATATACATATACATACACATACATACATACATACATACATACATACATACATACATACATACATACATACATAGATATGTATGTATGTATGTATGTATGTATGTATGTATGTATGTATGTATGTATGTAGGGTGCCTGTTGAGTTTACGTACTTTTCCGAGGATTTCAAGAGTTTTATCAGGGCTTCAGGCGGCTTTGTCGTTGTCAGTTTTTGTTTTGCGAAGCTCTCTTTGTGGATCCTGTAATGTAGGAACCAAAGTAACATACCTGGGGTCTTTTTGAGGGATCTCTACGTGGATCCTAACTACTTAACTACTTGGGATTATAGGACCAGGGTTTGTTAATCAGGTTCCTTTAGAAAGCCGGGTTGTGGTCGCCGATACCCTGAGTTTAGGATATTGGGTGCCTTCGAAGTTCCAGGGATTCTGCTTGTCGTGAATCCTTTGCGGGTAAAAGTTTCTCCCCAAACCCCAAACCCTAACCCCTAAACGCCCAAAACCCTAAAGCCTGAACCCCTAAAACCCCTAAACCCTAAACCCCATAAAGCCTAAACCCCAGAAGCAGCCGCTACGGCCGAGGAGTCTCCAAGAACGGTGATGCCGCCCCATGGGCTCGGACCTTCGGCTCGACCACCCGAAGGCTCCTTTGGGTTTAGGGCTTAGCGCTTATAGGGTTTAGGGTTTTGGGCTTAGGGTTTATGGGGTTTATGGGGTTTAGGGTTATATAAGCGTTTATGGGGTTTAGGGTTTATAGCGTTTAGGGTTTAGCTGGTCGCCCATCGGCGGCAAAGAGTCTGCCTCTGCTAACACGCAACTCCTTCTGCGCTCTCTCAGTCAGCTTCGCCAAGGGTTCCTGGTAAATCCGCCGCAAATCGCTTCCTTGCCACTCAGCATGCGAACCATAATGGATTTCGGGGAGTTGGTGCAGTTCCTTGGCCCGTTTCTCGTAAGTTACCATAACCCACTTTCGCTCGGTAGGACCTGGTAGGGTCGGCGTAGCAAGCAGGTTCCTCACATACACAAATGAGTGCTGAGCAACGCTGAGCTGGTCCGCATCAGTGGCCAAGTAGGTTTACAAGATACCAGCGACACAGGCTTTGACGTTTGAGTCCCGGCACACAGGAAAATCGTGAACTTACAACTCTGTGAAGGGAAGACGGTTGGAAAATGCTAAGTGTAAGGGTTTAAGGTGTCGGGTCCATAATTGATGCGAAATACACGAGCTACCCTGGACTCCTGGAACTTTGCACGAACCAATCTTTGGAACCTTATACCCTAAGCCCTAAGCCCCATGCACCTGTGATGCCTTCCGCCACCAACCCTAAACCAAAGGCAAAACGCTAATTAAAACCTTATCCAAAAACCTTCGAACCCTCAAAGCCCTCAAAGCCCTAATTGGTGATCCTCCTCAAGCCGAAGAGCGAACCCAAAGCTGCACACACCACAGGCCTGAATAATTAGAAGAGGGTTTTAGGGCCCTTGATACTACAATTTTAATAAGGACCCCCCCCCCCAAAANNAAAAAAAAAGAAAAAAAATAGTATAGGTAATTACTCAAGCCTAAACCGAATGGTTGCTTCGATGCCTGGCACAAGTACGGAAGCCAAAGCTTCCCAAAACGGTTGAAACTTCCTATGCGGCTACTACTGTTTGGTGCTTAGTAGGGAATGGGGGAATGGATCCCTATGATAGTCCCTTAAGGTCCCTTATAGTAGTCCCTATAACCCATTCCCCCATTCCCTACTAAGCACCAGACAGACTAGTCCCCTAGACCTTCAACACTACCTTGTACCTAAACACCTTAACCTGTTACCAAAACTTTCAGACCGTCACATACTTTAATCACCAACCCACACCCTAGATCATGCAAGCTAAGCCTTAAGCCGACAAACAACGAAAACACGAACAGGACACAAGCCTAAACCTCAAGTTCTAAACTTCTAAACCCTAAGTTCTAAACTTATAAACCCTAAAGCCTGCAAGCTCTCAGCCCTAACCTGGAACCCCTGGCAGTTCCTAAACACTCCTTGGCACGAAGATCCCCCTCGCACCTCGTCGTGCCTCGGCCAAGTCGTCGCAGTTGCGGCCCACCTGAGCGGATAATATAAGGGCCTGAATAATTAGAACAGGGTTTTGGCGGTTTCTTTGATCGGCTCCTGGCTACTATAAGGGTTTAGGCATAGGGGTCTTAATATTTAGAATAGGGTTTCGGGGCCCATTATACTATAGATATAATAAGGAACCCCAAAAAATATATTGGTAATTGCCTAGGCCCCGACCTGAGGTGTTGTTGTCGTTTCAGGTTCGCCTATTCGAGTCTCCCTTGTGATTCCTGTCTTGGTTGCACCAATTATAAATCTAGGATACGGTTTAGGGTTTAGGGTGTAGGGTTTAGGGTAACCGAAGAAAAGTCAACGGAGGCTTCAAACCCTAAACCCCAAACCCTCAACCCTAAACCCTAGTTTTCAGATGTCTTAAGCAGGAGGATGAAGGGTCCAAAAGGTCTAGGGTTTTTGGGGATCTAGGGTTTGGGCTTCTCTTATACAAGGGTGCCAGGCTTGGAGTTTAGGCTATGGGTTCTAGCGTTCGAAGGGTTTTGACGAGGGCTTCGGGCTTTAGTAATGCTAGAGTCTTACACTTAAACGGTTGAGGAGGTTGATTTGAGGTTTAGGAATTAGGGGAAAAGGGCTGTATGTTGAATTTCAGGTCTTAGGTTCAGGGTGTTGGGACGCTAGGTTCGGACTTCATTGAGGGCTTTAGGGTTAGCGCAGTGGCTCTACGGTGCAAGTTGTACGGCTTTAGGCTTCTACGTCTTGCGTAAAAGGTGTTTGCCGTCATCCTTTTACACCGACTTGACCCTCCACGTCGGGGCTTGCAAATGTCGCGAAAGTCCTCTACGCTAAAGCCCCAAACATTTTAACTTAAGCCCCAACTGGCTCTGTCCTACACTGACAACTGGCTCTGTCCTACACTGACTGGGGCTGTGGCGGTTGCAGTGTCAACTCCAAGCCCGCTCCAAGCCCGCAGGACCCGACGCATAGCCTCCTCTTCTGTTGGATCCTTTAGACCCTAAGCCCAAAGTTCTACACCCTCGAACCCGAAGCCCTCAACCCTGAACCCTGAACCCCACAACCCTAATTCCTAACCCTAAACCCGAAACCCTATCATCCTAGACGGTTGGATGCAGGCCTCACCAAGCTGTTCACGCAGTTCTCGCTGCTGGGCACGGATGGCCTTTCAGGACCCGACTTCGGTAGGCTTTAGAGTTGGAAACGGAAATATATATATATATACACACACACATATGCACACACTATAAAACAACTCTCCGGGAAACTTGCACTTCTCGCTCCGTGACTTGGAGTCTGCGAGGAAAGCTACAGCCCCCAATCTCTAAACCCAAGGGGTGTTTTACAAGAAATCCGAAAAGAGTACTGGCAGTCATTTAGGACTCTATACTAGAGTACCCTTGTAGAAACCTTTAAAGTAACCCCTACACGCCCCTTTTAACGGAACTCAGAATGGAACCCTTGTGCTGTAGTATCTGCCGACCTGGACTGACTCCCCGTCCGCCTCCACCTTTGCGTCGCCCTCGCCGGCGCGCTTTTCGAAGAGCTCCTAACCATCCCGGGAGTGAGAGATGGGATCCTTTTAGGGTTTGGGGTTTAGGGCGTTCCAAGTTAGAGGGGATCACCCCCAAAGACTAATGTAGTTGGGGTGTCCCCACCAACCCCTTGAGTGCATTGTTCCTTGCTGTTCCCTAACCCCTAACTTCCCCCCTAAACCCCAAACCCCCTAACCCCAAACCCTACTCTACCTATTAAGGCCCCCATAAAACCCTAAACCCTAAGCTTAAACCCCAAACCCTACACCCCAAACCCCCTAAACCCCCTAAACCCCAAACCCTAAACCCTAGGTTCTCTACCTATTAAGGCCCCCATAAAATCCTAAACCCCCTAAACCCCCTAAACCACCTAAACC